ATAACCGCAATTTTATGCAGTATTTGCGCTCATAGCAAAGCCTCAAAGTGATTTGTACATTAAAGCCTTAACCGCCTACTATGTGTATATGCACGCATACTTGCACACGCAAAGTTAATAATAAGGCTGACACAATAACAACAATAATAAGAACAACCACAGTAACAGGACTTGAACACAAAGAACAGGCATGACTTTAATTTCAAACCGCATAACAACAACAAGTTACGAGTACATTAGATGTTGGCTTTTGACACAATAATGTTGTGACAATAAATCACTTGGATTTTGGTGTTTGCTTCATTTGATTTGATTTCGTCATTATCGTCACGATTATAGTTATTATTCCGATTGTCATCATTAACAATGACATTTGTTGTATTTGAAATGTTAGTTGTCTTTATAATTGGACAGTTTAAACAATTGGGGGTGTGGCAGTCAAATATAATTTTGTTTTTACTTTTAGTATAACTCAATAAAATGGAATTTAATTAATGTGTGCGTAATTGGAATATGGCGAAAGGGTTAATGCCCGAAATAAAATATTTGCTCCTCAAAAGAATTAAAAAGAATTAACATATATATAAAATTAAAATATATTTAAAAACTAAGCAAATAAAGAAAAATAAAATAAAAAGTTTAAAAATAATGTATTCTTCATCACCTCCAACCGCTATTTAAAAATGAAAGTCTCAATCCAAATAAATCGACCGTCACTTCTATATGGATGTGTGGCGTTCAGCAAGTCCTCAAACACTACTATTCGCCAGCTAGAAATTACACAAAGCCAGGCGCTGAGAAGACTTTTCAAGGTACTATGATACATTAGGACGAATAACATCCACAGGAACCTCAAGATTGATCCGATCTAAAAATACATAAAGGACATTGCCCTAAAAGTATTTACGAAAACTGCCATTATCGTTATCGAATTTTAGAATGGTTCTAAGCTTCTCAGGGGGGTATGCAGCTCTGAGGTCAGTTATTTCTTAGTCTAATGAAGTGGTAAACAGTAATCCAGTCAAGGCGTAGGGAGGTTTTGAAGAACCTCGCAGTTAATAGAGAGTAAAAGTGTTCAAGTGCATTAACTCAATTAACCTCAACATAATTATACCAATTTAAGTCAAAAAAATAAATTTTCAATCTATTAAAAAAAAATTAGTAAAAACAGTCAGAAGAAATATTGTTTAAATATAATCTTTACCCATTAAAATCTTTAGTATAATAATAAAACTAATTACTTAATAAAAGCACTTATGAAAAAATATAATTAATATATATGTATAAATAAAAATATATATATATTTCACAGTTAATAGAGAATGCATAACTCTTATTAAATAAAAGGAAATGTGCATACGAGTTTAAAGTAAGAAAAAAAAAAATTGAAAAAATGGTTGCCTGCAAACAAAAATGTAATTAAGAGACTAAAGCTTTGAAAGGAAAAATTACAAATCAAACTACTTCTGTTACTCTTGCCAGCTCCACTACATAACAGCAGCTTTACTCCAGCTCCCACGTATCTATATACCATACACGCTTTCCCCATTAAAAAAAATATAAGAAACATTCCTTTTTTTTTTTGCATATGCATCAAACTTTTTTGTTACTTTTCCCAGTCAGGCTACGATATCCTCTTCGTTCGTTCTAAGCACTGAAAATTTTTTCATTTTTAGCATTTTTTGCTCGTTCCTTAATTCTGATGCGAGCTGCTCTGTGGGAGCAGCTGTGGGAATAATGGTCAACTTATATCTTCGCTTAAGCTCAAATTACCAAATAAGCGCTTATCTCTTCTATTTGTTCTAAGGTAATTTTCATTATCCTTTGTTGTCTTTGTCAGGTTTTCTTTGTTTCCCTGGACTTTGAATTGAATTTTGATCGACGATTCTGTCCTTTTCAGGATATGTCAACTTGTTCAGTAATTTTATTGAAGTTTTTTGAAAGGTTTGTGTATCAATTACAAACAAAAGCTTAATTCATTATTAAAAACTTTTTTACGTTTTTTTAATTTTACTTTAATTTAAATTATTTTGTTTTCCATTCCACATTTTCTTTAAATCTATTTAATTCTTCTTTATGGCTTTTATTTCATACTATTTCATTTTGTTTTATAACAGTAGTATTTTACAATTAATTGCATTTAATTATTTTTTATTTTTATTAAATAAATTATTTGATACATGCCTTCAAACCCCTAGTGTTTTATTTTAATAAAATATAAAATTTACTAAATTTTACATTCATTTAAATTTTTACTATTTTTACTATTTAGCTGTTGGTGGTTTTGAGGTCATGAAAAATTTAAAATTTGAAATTAATTTAGTTTCATTTTGCTAAACCAACTCGAACCGAATTTTATTATATCCATTAAACCATAATCAACTTACAACTACAGCAATGCGAATATACGAAAAACAAATCCGCTCCAATATTTTAACCGGCAGGAAAAAAATCCTTTCATAAAAAGAAACTCCACTAAAATGAGTTGTTGACTTGTTTTCATGGTGTCGCCAGCAAGTCTGACGCCAGTAAAGTTTTCATCCACTTGGTCATATCAAACACCGCATGAAAAAAATTTCAATTTTTTTTAATGTGTTTTCCGTATTTTCCATATATTTGTACTTGCACAAGCTCGTCTATATAATTTTTTGCCCTTTGTCAACTGTAGCAATAATAACAAAATTTATGCGATTTTATGCCAAAAACGGAAAAGCCATCTATGAAGGCGTCCTCACTGCCGGAGAACTCAAGAAATTTTCCTAAGCTAACATCGGAAAATTGTGTGAAAAACAGTTTTTACATTTATTATTGTCTGCTTAACGCCAAAAAGTATGCTATTAAATTGGCGTCTAACCGGCTGCGAAGGGGAAGACTTAACAAACAGCCACGATAAAATAGCACAACTGAATAGACGAAATTCGTAAAGGAAAACTGTATTACAGCAGCCCGAAATGAAAAAAATTGCGCAAAGCAAAACAAACAATTTAACGGAAGCAAATTTCAAAAGAAAACTATACGAAATTATCCTGGTACGGTTTGCAGTCAATGAAACCATCCAAAGGACTACGTAAGAGGAGGACGGTGTTGATATTTTCAATTCGTCATCAATTTGGGTTATACAGCTAGTTTTTGTTTTTATCTTTTATTGCAAAATTGCCAAATGCATTTCATTTATTTATTGTCGTATAATTTCCAGCTTCTCGATGGATATCGTTTTAGCAATTCGAGTAAACATGGACATGGAATTGGGCCAGGCGAAGACTACGTGGCGCCACTTTCGGTTATTTGTATTTTTACACATCTGCATCGTCTCTACTTAATTTCAGTTTTTGCCACTTTTATGGGAATTTGTATTGGCTTTAATTACGAGTGTAAATATATGGAGTCCATAAAGAAAATTTGATTTTTTATTGTTTTATGTATGAATAGAATCTTAAAAAAACTTAATATTAACACAAAGTACGTAAATGAGATAAAATGTTTTAACAATTTTATATAATCAAGCATAATAGTAACTCCAGTTGTTAATGCAACTTAATGTAAGATTTGAAAATCGTTAATTATTTTTCTAAATATTGGTTCTTTTCAAATGATATATTCATGAAATAAGTCTATCATTTTATTTTTTTTCACTTTGTAATACAATCTCATTAATCTCTTAGATTCTACAACAATAATTAAGCAATATTTATTACTCTGTATTATATTATTGCTGTCATAAATTTATGGGATTAGATTAGATTTTTAAGATGGGTTGGGAACTTGTCACCGCGTCATTGCATCCTTAAAGGATTATTGTAACATACCCACTTCAGTTCCATAGACGAGTAGCAGTTGAGAATGCCAATATGTCTTTTGTAGAGATGTTGCCTAATTTCGTTCTAAGCGGATAGGCAGTGGATAAGTACCGAAGTCTGATTGTGCAAGGCTATCACAGTGACACAAAGTCTGTTCTGCTGTTTCCTCTTCTTCGCAACAAAGTCTGCACCTATCGTCTCTAGTAATACCTAGATTTGATAGATGCTTTTTAACTCCGCAGTGTCCAGTGAGAAACCCTGTGACAAGTCGGATACCAATTCTGTTCAGCATTAGTAGCTCCCTAGTTCTGGCTTTTGATCGAAACGGCATAGATTCTTTAGCTTGTCTGTATTATCCTAATCAGTCTGATATTTATGGGATACATTTATTACTTTGGATTGACAATTTCACACTCTCTCTCTTTTCTTGTCATAATCTTCTGCTAGTGTAGTATAGAGCCTCTACAATCTCATTATAACAGAAACAGTTTTTGGTTCTCAGCAGATGTCACTTTGAAAAAAATTGATTTTTTCATTTCGTTGGCCATTTAACTCGCCCTGCCAAATTTGAAGCTGAGTCAATATGAATTAGACAACTGATCCTAAGCTGTAGTTGGCAAACTTTTAGAATTATGATTTGATAAAGCCATAAAACACTTTAAAAATAATTTTTTATGAAAGATTAATGCAAAATAATTATTTATAAAAGTATCTTTTTGAAAACTACTCCACTCACTACTTAATAATTAATAATGATAATATGGTTATAGTAAACTTTCAAATAGTTTTTATGTTTCATATCAGCTTTATGTTGAAAATACTCATTAAAAAAATAATGTTTTTACTTTTAATGCATCTGCTTTAATCTTAAAATGAACAATTGTTGTAACAAAAAACGTGAAATAAAAAACCTGAAACAATCAGTTTTAACATTTTTAAATAAATTTTTTATTGTGAACAAAAGATACAAAACTGAACTGAACTGAACTGAACAGAACAGAACAGTAGTTGTTTATATGTTTTGCTTACACTTCACACATTCGTCTGTAGACACAGTATTTTATGTAAATAATAATTGAATTCAATGAACGTGCACACTTTCGCAAATAAATCCATTTGCCATTATTGAAAAATTAAAATGAAATCGTCGCATTGATTTTAAGCAAATTAATAATTTCCACTTATCCATTTTTTATTTCGCAGGGATTAAGGCGAGTTGGGAAGAATGGTGGACATATGATGGCATATCCGGTAAGTTTAAAAAATTATTACAATAACAAAACCGAAAAAAACAACATTAAAAATATAAAAGAATAATGCTGATGTTAAAAATTTAACATTTTTTAAAGTGAAAGGGTACAAATGTATAAAAATTAAAGGCAAAAATCACTGAACCACATTTAAGCAATTTAATTGTCAAAATAAACATCACCTCAAACCAGAATTTGATGGAAAGCATGATGGTAATCATACCTATCAGTTCCCTTTTAAATCAACATCAATCAAATTGACAGTTATTAACATTGTCAAAACATGAAATACACCAAAAAAAAGGAAAAAAGAAAATATGTATAAAATTACAAATATCAAAACCAACAATTTAACCACACATCATTTAAGCTCACTGCACAATGTGGCCCACTAAAATGGCTAAAAAATTTTGTAACATTTAGTAACGAGCCGCCGCACCGTAAACGTCGTCCTGCATGACGCCATTATGAACCTGGCGCATAGCTGTCATTTCATTTCATTTGACACGACATGAGACCTGTCGAAAGGTTCAGAAAAAATACAATTACAAACATTGCATAAAAAATTAAATATTTTTTTTTTCGTAGCACAAAGAAGAAAACAAAAAGTAGAAGTAAATTTTAAAAATGGCTTAAAAATATAAACGATACAATAATAAAAATCACTGCAACACAGCAATAACTGGCAATGTCCAACAGTGCGTATGAGTGTTGCCATTTGCATGAAGGCAGGGCGAATGGTTACTGTATAACTGGCTTGCATATGTCAGACATCGTTTGCTGTGTGTCTAGCAAGCTGAAGTGTGCAGATACAATAAAAAATTGCAACAGAGTTATAGGGAAAAAAGCAACAAATATATAAAATCATTAGCAACTGCAACACCACCGACCTGCAGTGATTGCCAACAAAATTGCTACTCGTTTGTGGATGTGTCTGAAAAACTGAATACGTGTTTGTCTTCACTTCTGTTGAAAAGTGTATTTTGTCCATTATAAATCGAAGTATTATTTTAATACTGAAATCTGAAATCTGAAATTGAAACAAAGAAATTGTTTATGTACAAGGATTAAAAACACTAAAAATTTATAGCCAATGAATTTTTCGAAATTAAAGCATACGCATTTATATTTTTATTTATGTTTAATTCTAAAGAATTTATGTGAATTTACTATTACGTTTTGTTGGTATATATTCTCATTTACTTAAAATATTAATTGACATTTTATTTATATTAGGACCTAGCTTTTGGGGCCTTATAAATCCACAATGGAACATGTGCAACAAAGGACGTCGTCAGTCACCAATAGACGTTGTGCCAGATAAATTGTTATTTGATCCCTATTTGCGACCGTTGCACATTGATAAGCACAAGGTGGGAAACATCAAAACCACTTCAAAATTATATATATTTATAAAACTTATTTTAACTATTGAGTTTAAAAGCAAAATACAAGCAAAAAACAATAATTTTTAATTATATTCTCAATAGGTTTCCGGTACACTATACAATACAGGTCAATCACTCGTCTTCCGTGTCGACAAAGACACAAAGCAACACGTAAATATATCTGGCGGTCCACTCGCGTATCGTTATCAGTTCGAAGAAATTTACATACACTACGGCACTGATAACAGTCGAGGCTCGGAACATTTTATACAGGGTTACAGTTTTCCGGGTGAAGTAAGTGGCTTGGCTTATGCCTATTCTATTTTTTATTCTAGCAGAAATAATTTAATTGTTTTTAATAAAATATCCGCACAAACAGATACAAATCTATGGTTTTAATAAGGAACTGTATCATAATATGTCAGAGGCGCAACATAAGTCGCAAGGCATTGTAGGACTGTCTTTGATGGTACAAATTGGCGAAACGCCAAATCCCGAGTTACGCATCATCACCAGCACATTTAATAAAGTTCTGTACAGAGGTGAGTAAATTGTGGGTACTAGTTCATATAAAGGTATTATTATTATTATCGTCTATGAGCTCACGTTCAGCGCACATTTGTACAAAAGCAATTTTTCTTTTTAAAATTAATAAATTCTTGCTTCAATTCGCATTGTTATCGTTGCCATTTTTCCTTACGTGCCACGTTTGTAAGTTCGTACGTTTGTACGTTTTTACGTTAGTACGTTTGTATATAAATAATAATAACAAAGCACTTTATTTCCGGTACATGAAATACCAAGCAACACGTTTCGAGTTGCACTTTCCCGTATCCTGTGCTTATTTTCATTAGTTGGTGTGCTTTACATTTCATTCAATAAAGCGAAAAAAAGAAAATTGCGAAAACTCTGCAAAAGTCGAAAGCAAATTTACTTTAAACGTGGAGTTTGCATTGGAATGCAGGTGCAGTGCACAACCCGGTTGGCGCATGCATTACTACAGTTAGTACGGTTAGTACAGTGGATTAAGGATATCAAGCAAGATTATAAAATATGTGCTCTAGTATTTAATAATGGTTCAAAAATATCCATTTTCTATGCCGCAATAAAATTACATTAATAATTTTTCTTTACTTTTGGTATATATTAGGCAAATTATGGTTCTACCAGTTCATTAAGGAACTCGAAAATGCATAAACAATATCATATATCGTGAAATCAGGACTACTAATTTATGAAAGTTTGGAAAATATGTGACTGCCATGAAATTTACTTAATAGAATATTTTTAAAATAATATAAGATTTAAAATGGTAATAGTAAAATTTTAATGTCAGCATAAAGAATTGATCACACAAATGAACATCATTCTTCAGGTCAAGTTGTTGTAGTAATCCAAGTTATTTATTAGCCTATACAACTTATAATAATCCGGTGTATCAGAATATTATAGTAATCCAAAGGACTTATTAGTCTATACAATCGCACAATATACTGCTCATCAGCATATTAAAGTAATCCAAGAGACATAAGTCGTATTAGCTCTATTGAATTTATTAGCTCCTTATGTTGCTTTACATAAGCGTATAGGCAATTTCGAAATTTTAATGTAATTTAAAAATAATATCTTAGCTGTTTGACGGAACATTCCGTCTTGAGCGGGCATATTGACCAATTAGATGCTGCTTTTGATGGCTACGGTCATGGTGTGAATCAGAGAAGAAACTGAAGTCAGTTGCTCAACTGCTCTATCACTACCCGTCACTCACTTCCATTTTTGGTTCTCCTTCTTTAAATATCCGTCTTATACCTCTAATAAAGGCATTGAAGATATTATCTGTTATATTAACGCAACAAAGTAATTCTCGATCCGAAGTAAAGACATATTTACTTAAGCACTTTAAAACAATTTAAAACATTTAATTTAAAACAATGTTACCACAGTGGGTCCATTTTCAAAGCTTAATTGATTGCCGTTTTTGAACGAGGCAGGCTAATATTATAAAATGCAACAAAATTTACCAAAAATATTCAAAACTTTTGTACCACTGTCAAAAACATCCACTAAAATCTGCAACACTCATGGATGTAAAATGGCAAACTAATCTCAGTATTCAAATATGTTTATCATCGATTCAATTTACTGCATCAACTTGTGATTTCAAAGATTGAAAGCTTGTCCACTAAGTTTACATAGCGCTGTATGACGACTTGATTTGGTTCTTTATATTTTTAAATCAATTAACTTAATAAAGTGATGAATCACTTTATGATACTAAGGGCTATAATTCCTCCATGATAATCTTTTTCAAATACACCTGATTTGGAACACCTATGCTGCAAGAAGCCGTGGAAGATCACAAACCATATGGTATAGTACAGTTTTTACATTTTATCGATAGCGATTATTAGGTGGCAATAGATTATATTGAAATTTATTTGTGAAATCTTGAAACTCGTAGAAAGTAGTACGGAAATAATAATAGAAACAGTAATTATAGAAAGCACAGTTAGACATGTTACAAACTTCGAATATTAATACAGCAGATAATAAATAATAAGTTCGTATACAAATTCAGACAGAAATTTAAACCTAATATTGAAGAGAAAATACTAGATATCTGATCACCTCCTAAATAGTCTTAGCCTCTACACAAGAAGTAATAACTGAAAGCAGGCGGCCAACACACTAGTATTCTCTAATGCCATTTATTGCACTAGATAAAAAAAACAACTATTTTATATTAACCAGTTAAATTACTCATCACTTAACGTTCGTTAAAGGCTCCCAAATTGTAAGGGCTGAATTTAACCAAGCTATACATACAAATAAATAGTTAGAAACGAAAATAGGTCACCACAATGGGCCGAAAATAGTAATTCTATTCGTAGACTATTCCAATCACTTCTTCAATCAACCAATCGAAGCAAAAATGTGTATCTACTTTCTTCTCTTTTGTGATTTTTTTTTTATTTATGTATATATGTAATTATTTATCTTTATGATATCCAAAACATCATAATGTTGATAGGTTACCGGAGTTTTGGCATTAATTACAGCTTATTTCTTTTCTTCAAAAAGATTATTCTCGTATATGTATAGGTAGATTATACTTTTTCTTCATTACTTATTATTGAAGTTCTTCGCTATTATCTTGAAATTATTTTTGTTTACTATATTCTAGCTAGAAATTATAGGTCTTAACATGCGAGGTTTGGTTAGGTATATTATAGTATAAATGTATTACAACCCTTGTGTGTCAATCCTCATTCTTCCTCTTTCTTAATATGTCATCCTTCTGTTACACGATTTTGTTCGGTCTCGTCTTCTCCTATTATACTATACTACAATTTTTAGACTTCATGTTTTTATTTCTTTATAAGTCCTTCTTTAGTATTTTTATCTTTGACTACATTTCGCCACTTCTTCTTAACAAAAATTTGCTGAAAAACTATTCTATTCACTTTTTACTTGCTCTTCTTCATTTATTTGGTTATATCTTGTATTTTTTCGGAATATTCAGGACTAAAGATTTACATTTTTAAACCTGCTTATATATTTTTATCCACTTCTAAGAAAAATTTCTGCCGAAATTTTCTAACGAACTACAAGTATTTTTTCACAAGAAATAATATTATACAATCCTTGTACTTCCTTAAAGCAAGAAAGCCATAAAACTTTAAATGTTTGCTTTGCTTCACTTCCGCGGTATTAGTGTGGCTTTCTTAATAGCGGAAACGGATATAATGGCAAGCAGACACGTTGCTGTTGTTGTCGTTCGCGTCGTCGTCGACATAAGTTTGAGGCAATTTGGCATGACGCTGTCCTGGTCTATGTCGACGGCATCATTTATGCAACTTCAACTAGCCTGGCCAATTCTGATTTTTTCCAAATTCGTTAAAGTTTCCGCCCAACAACAATGCAAAGTCAAGTCGAAGCATAGCATAAAATCATAATTTTATGTTAGTTTTTCTATGCAAACTATGGATTCGACTTAAATGCAAAGGATCATAATTTCTCCTCAACTCCTGCCCCTGTTGCTTCAGCGCTTTTACCATATTTGCTACTACGACAGAAAGAAAGTAGAAAGTTTTTCGCGCAATTACCGTGTTATTTTATTATGAGTTATTTTATTGCACTTTGGCAGTGCATAATTTTGGACTCAGACACACAAACGAGTGTCTGTGTAATGCGAACATAACAATTACTCCTGCTAAATGTCAGTGGCAGCAAGAAGCTTTTTCACTGTCCTCTAAATTAATAGGAAAACACATTCTGATTAAATTTACAGAATGTGCAAAAAATTATAAAAAGCAATATTTTTTTCTTATTCTTTTAGGTTTTTCAACACCGATTAGGCACATATCAGTGCGTTCATTGTTGCCAAACACGGATCACTACATCACATACGAAGGCTCAACTACACATCCTGGCTGCTGGGAGAGCACCGTTTGGATTATAGTTAATAAACCTATTTATATCACTAAACAAGAGGTTAGTAAAAATATACAAATCCTAACTACAATATTAATCACTCAATGATCTGTGACAAAAAAATTTAATTAAAACCAAACGCTGTGCATAATTATATCGCCAAATAATTTATAACTAAGCTTGTTTTAATTATGTTATTATCGCTTTAACCGTAGCCACTGTAAATTTTCATTATAACCAACCTTTTTAATACCCTTCGCACGCAAATTTCGAAAAATAAACGAATCGTGGTGACCCACCATATAACACGATAGCAACCTCAGATATATTCTACATCATTAGAGTATACACCATTATTATGCTGTAGGCATGACTCTTATTCGATATGCTGTGCCAATAATGATTTCTTTTAGTTAAAATCGTTTTTTCTACCAAAGACTTAATTGTGACCAACTAAATCCCAAATAAGGTTTCAATCTATGAAAATAAAAGTCGGTCTCTTAAATTGAATGGTTGATCCGGTCTTGTAGGACTGTCCGCGTACTCATTATTATTTATTTATTTGTGATTACGGGTCCAATAAAGTACTATTCTGTTTTTGTTAACCAGTTAATATAGCATACCGTGGTAGATCACACATATTTCTGAAGAAAGCCTCGTGGAGACCAATACTTCAATTGTTTCTATCTGTGTTAATTTACGGAAATCTATGGCGATCGATGTAGATCTGTATAGGTCCTAGATCATGTGATCAATTCGATTTCACTTAGGGCGAAGAATTTCAGTGACTCCTATTTCACTGAATAATACCATATTTACTTAATCTGTATGAAGAGTATTTTAGTTCTGGTAATGCCAAAGCTAACTTCTTTATTTAGTTTGCTTGAGTGTGGCGTTTTAATTTAATATTAGTTGTGTCAGATAAATAATTATTTAATTACCTTGTTAGCCACAAAATTTTGTGCAAATTTCGTATTAATTTTGCAACAAATTGAATTTGCAGTATTTTTGATTGCATTTCCCGGAATTATTCCGTGGCGGTCTCAAGCCACACAGATGCGGTAACGGAAATCAATTTAAACCGTTTTCATATGCACTATTTTAAATGGTAAAAATTATGTATTAATTGTGCACTTCATAAGCAATTAAGGACCTTTCAAAAAAAAAAGGTCACTTATTTTATATGTGTTTAATTGCAGTTCATTTAATTGTTCCTGTTAAAGTTTCGACATATTTCATTTACAAGCAATTAAGTGCTAAGTGGTATTAAATTGCTCAAAAGTGTTTATATGGGTTTTTTTTAAATTAATTATGAATTGATAGTAGGTAACTTAAAAAATTTTTTTTTAATTTTAATTGCATATATATGAATAACTAAAAATCAGGATATTTTATTTTTACGAATACCATCTTATATTGCAAGCTTTTTTATAACTTTAAAGCTATGCATCTTTAAAGCATTTTTTAAATAGAAGTTCACATCTATCTACCAATTATCAATTGTTTATATTAAAGTAAAGTTCAATATAGACAGTTCAAATAAAAAAAACTTTCTTATATACTTAGAAGAAAAAGTTTTTTATTTAGCAAAAAGTTTTTATCTTTTACAGTAGATCAATAAATATTGTATCTGTAAATAACTATTAAAACTAAATAAGTGTCATGCTACTAATAATTAAAGAGAATTATATATATTTATTTTGTATTTTAATAATTTTTTTAGACTAAAATTATATCAGTTAACTTTTACGAACTACCATAGATCAGTAATGATAAATCTATATCAAGAAATTTTCAAAACGTAACTTCAGTGTGACCGAAAAGTTCCGGAATTTTAAATAAAACGCAAAATTCTTTATCTTCATCAATATTTATTTTATCTCCTTCAAAATATGCTCCATTAGAAGCGATACACAAATGCCAACGTTTCTTCCAATCATCAAAACATTTTTTATAGGCGCTTTCCGGTATGGCTTTGAGTTTCCTCTGCGAATTCTGTTTTACGTCTTCTATGGATTCAAAACGCGTTCCTCTGAGTGGTAATTTGAGTTTGGGAAACAGGAAAAAGTCACACGGTGCAAGATCAGGTGAATACGGGGGCTGTTCGATGGTATTTATTGAATGTTTGGCCTTAAAATCGTTGATAATGTTGGCTCGGTGCGAGGGAGCATTATCGTCATGAAAAATCCATGAATTATCCTTCCACAATTGAGGCCGTTTACGGCGGATATTTTCACGCAAACGTCTTAAAACAGTCAAATAATAGGCTTTATTGACTGTTTGTCCTTCAGGGACGAATTCATGATGCACCACACCACGAATATCGAAGAAAACAATCAGCATTGCCTTGATTTCGAGCGCTTTGGCGTGGGTTTTTCGGTTTCGGCTCGTCTTTTCTCTCCATTCCGATGATTGGTGTACCACTCATAAACTTGAGTTTTCGATAAAACTGATTCCCCATAAGCCTTTTGTAGCATTCGCAACGATTCTGCACACGAAATTTCGTTCGAAACAAAAAATTTGATGCAAACTCTTTGTTCAATATTTTTTTCCATTGTTTTTTTCGCAACGCACTACTGAGGTGAACTGGTTTCAACAGCTGCCGTAAACGAACTGTCTGACAGATCGCGCTCATTTTTGGCATAGTAATTAAGGACAGTGCTGCCAAACTACATAAACTTAAAATATCGAAAAATATACAGCGCGCGAATTTTAAATGAGAATTTCCGAAAACTTTTCGGTCACAATGTACTTGTACTGTACTATTTTATTTGCAGTTATATCAACTCAGACGACTGATGCAAGGTTCAGAGACTTCACCGAAAGCTCCATTAGGCAATAATGCGCGTCCTCTACAAGGACTTCATCATAGAACAGTAAGAACTAATATAGACTTTAAGAGAAACAAGGTAAATATAAAATTATTTAAAGTCTTTATTTTATATTTTTCTAATATCTTATAAGTTTTTATCAACAAATAAAAAATACTAAGAATTTAAAAGATTTTTAAAAAGAATTAAGTGACTATTACAAATATTTCAAATTAAATACTAGACGCATCATAGGATTCATATAGTCCATATATATAGATAATTAATGTATAGAATGGATTTGTTTTATTAAAGAATGTGACAGAAATATAAAAAATATGTCTTAAAGAAATGTAATTTAATATAGAAATCTTCATAAAATCAATTCTCATTACTTACGTATATTTCTTCTTCTTATTGCATTGCAGAATCAAAACTCATGCCCTTCCATGTACAAGGATATGTATTACCGAGCGAATCGCTGGTCACCGGATACAGGACTTCTAATTCGTTGACCGCACTATCTTCACAAAGAAATGCCGAGACGGATCCGCAGCAGTAGCAGCTACCAAAGTAGCCACGAAAGCAACAACGATCATAAAAACTATAACAAATTTAAATTATTACTATTATTACTATTAAATATAGTAGAAGTAGCAACAAACGAAAAATTTTTTACAACAAATTAAAGATGACAGGAAATAAATTAAAATCAGAAGCCGGAAATGTGGCAAAACTAAAAAATATAGAGGAAGACTTTAATTTCGTCATCTTCGCAGACAACTTCGAAATGCAGACCCAGGCTTCTGGTGTGTTATTGCTTGCTTTACTAATCAAATACTAAGCCAACTTGCAAAATATTTACCTATAAGCATTTTTTTATTATAAACAATTGATTTTTTTAAATTAAAAAGTAATAAGTATATTTTATTTAAAAAAAAAATTATAATTATTATTATTTGTTACGGAATTATTTTTTAAAAAGAAAATTGTATAAATCGTATAATTTTATTACAGTTTAAACATCATAAAAATCAAAAACAAATTTAATAAATATGTATAACCGCAGTTAAGTAAATCATTTGTTTAGATGCAATATATTTATATAAAATATATATAAATAAATAAAAATTATATAAAAAAGCCGAGAACTGGTTGGGTGGACAATAAATATTTAAACAAAAATAGCGAAATATATTGTATTTAACATAAAACATAAATTTAACGCAAGAAATATATAAGCTAAACATATTGAATATATATGAGTAAAGCAGACAGCAAAATATACTAATGCGTATATAGCATGTTCGTTGTAAGCTAATATATAACCTCAAATACTTAATCAAAATTATACATATAATTAATACTTATCTTTATAATTGTGTTTACTCCTTGAAAATTTTTACTTTCCATTGCTATGTAATAACATAATGCTGGATACTCATACCGAAGTCTATTATCCTACATATAGAGACGATATACGTCGTGCTTAGTTTTAAGTACTAGATAAAATAAATTGTATTAACTATTATTTTTTTTATGAAAATTAATCATAAAATAGAGAATATATATTTAAACCAAATATGGTTATCCTGGCTAGGCTAGTGTTGTAAATGCTACAGAATTTATTTTGCTATTATTGTTCTGTCATGGAAGAGCTCAATTGTAGAATGTGTTGTCAGCTGTGGAATTATTTTAGCTACCACGATATATCAAGAATAGGAGCAATTATTTGTATACATATGATTCTATGTGGTTAATTATATTAATAATTTTTTATTTTAATATAGCAAATTAAATTATTACATATATAAATGTATTTGTAAACTAAATTGATATATTTATATATATATTATTATATATATATATACATATGTACCAAGTATATACTATGTATTTTAGTTAATAATGAATGTAATAAAGTTAATGATCACTTGTGTAAAATGCAATAAATATTTAATAAATAATGTATTCGTATATAGTCAAAACTATTACATATGTATGCAAAAAATAAATAAATTTAAAAATATATTGTATAGTTATAAGTTACATATTACATAAAAATATTAAAAAATAATTAGTGTATGCAAATAAATAAGAATGATTATAACAAAACTAAAACTTGAAGCTTTTTTATAGAGATTTTTATATTTTTAAAAATCATTTATAGGCGAATTATACTAGTTTACCTAAAAATATTTTAATCCAAAATATTTCAATCCGCTGATTAAGCCATAATCAGTTCGAATGATTATGAATGCATAGTATTCAACATATAGATAGATATGAATTCTTTTCTTCTGATGCATAAAGTATCTTAATGTAGTAGTAATGTTTATATTTCCATTAAACCTATTTCAAGTTGTTTTACTCAATCATTATTAGGAATATTTTTAGCAGGA